TGTTGTTTTAGGCTACTAAGTTTGGGGGTAATTTGTGCAGCAATAGAAAATTAATACGAAGTACAAATGTTGTCTATTAGCAGATGGAGAAAACAATGATGGCAGTGGATGCTGTGGTGTGCTTCCCAGATTCTCCCCTCTTCAGGGTCAAGGCACTCATTCTCCCAGCTGCTCCAGAGCGTTTGTGCTGACAGCTCTTAGCTGAGTCTCTCTCCAGGAATGGCTCTCAGCTGAAGACAGCCACCTGCCCCAAAGTCACACCTCCTCCCCTCCCCAAGGGCAGCCCACATCCAATGACTAGTTGGCACAGAGGTGTAATGACCCGGACCTGTTGCCTCAAGGGGGAAATTTTGAAGAGCTGCCCTCTCCTGAGCTCCTGTGAGATCAGCCGAGGCCTTTATTGTGAATTCATCACAGCTCAACTCTGCCCAACTTGACCTCTGTCCAATCGTTCTTCTTTGAAGACTTGCCAAGTTTTGATTCTTGGGAACCTGACCTAATACAATTGGTACCAGGATTGGCAAGGAGAAGCAGAGTCAAAAACGGGATTTGGTACCCTTGGCAGGCAGCTGGTGATGGAGACACCATCACTAGTGACAGGTGGGACAACTGTTCAGACTGTCATCAGTGGTGACCCTGTAAAAGGGAATGCACCTCTGGGGTGGCAGAGGGTGGGGGGGCGGCCACATCACAGGCTTTTGAGAGGCGGGGGAGGTACTAATTCTAAAGACAGTGGAATCTGAAGGCTGTCGGTGAGGTGAGCAGCACTGACGCATTAGGGAAAGATAATGAATGGCCAAGGGTGTTTATCCACCAACTGAAGGCAAGTGTGAAAGCCGGGGGGCCTTGTGTTGTTGAAAGTCCCCCTCATTTGTGATATTTGTTATGTAGCAATAGAACACTAAAACATGTGTGGGTACCTGGAAGCAGGGTGCCATAACAAATACCTAAAAAGGTAGATTGCCTTGAACTGACTTTTAGTAGAAATATGTACATTAAAGACAGTGCAGGTCAAAAGAACGTGAGGACAATGTAGAGATGCTAAATTGCCTTAGAGAAAGCCTCAGTCTCCATGAACAGATCGTTAATAGAAAGATGAACTTAAGACGCTGACGGTAAGGGCTCAGATGGAAGTGAGGAATATGTTATTGGAACTGAAGGGAAGGTAACTCTCGTTCCGTAGTGGCAGAAAGCTTAGCAGAGTTGTGTCTAGCAGTTACGTGGAAAACAGAACTTGTAAGCAAGGAATGTGGATATTTAGCAGAGATTTTCTAGGTTTCTGGTTTCTTTTTGCTGCTGAGAGTAAAATACAAGAGGAGAGAAATAAATTATGGGAAGAACCGTTCAAAGGAACTGGGACTTGATGATTGGAGAAATTCTCAGCCTATCCAGATTGCAAAAGATACTAAAATTCAGAAATGGCTACCACAAACTGGCGTAGAGAAAAGCCCTGGTATGTGGCTGTACAACCTTTTGCCGAGGCTTCAGAAAGATCTAAAAGCCGGTCACAAGAGATCAAGGAATGTATTGGTTTGCTAGGGCTGCCACCATGGAGTACCACCAACTTGGTGGCTTAAACAACAGAAATGTATGGTCTCACAGTTCCCGAGGCTACAAAACCAAGACCAAGGTGTCAACAGGGTTGGTTCCTTCTGAAGACGGATCATCTGTTCCATGCCTCTCTCCTAGCTTCTGGAGGGTTACTGGCAATCTCTGGAGTTCCGTGGCTCGTAGAAGCATCACCCTGATCTCTACCTCCATCTTCTCATGGCATCTCCGTGTGTGTGTGTGTGTATGTGTGTGTGTGTGTGCATGTGTGTGTGTGTGTTTACCCTTGTTATAAGGACACCAGTCATATCGGATTAAGGGTCCACCCTATTCCAGGGTGACTTCATCTTAATTGCCTCTGCAACAACCCTATTTCCAAATAAGATCACATTCCGAGGTACTGGGGGTTAGGATTTCAAGGTACGAATTTTGGGAGGACACGATTCAATCTGTATCGAGGTATTTGATATAGATCTCAATCAATCCAGGGGTCCTCTAGGAAGCTTAGGGGTTATTGCCCCTTAGCCTTCTCAGCAGAAGCCAAATATAGAAGAGGGATTATTCCAGAAAGACATGTGGGAGAGACTTCTGTCTAATGGAGTGATTCCCTGTGCCATGAACGCAAAGCCCACAAGGTTCTTGAGAAATTTATACCCACAGGAAAAGAAAGACAGAGTAGAAAATGAAAGAAGGCTTTTCGGTCCCCCAAATTTCACTGACAGGAAGCAGTTTGATAAAAAGGTCTCAGTTACAAACATGTCCTGTCTTTCATGAAAAACAAAGAGGGGGGATCCAAGAGCCCAGAGGGCAGAGTCAAGAGCCATGATGAGTTGTTCCCAGGCCTTGAAACCTAGTGGAGTTTGCTTGACTAGATTTAACAGCTGCTTTGGACTGGTGACATTTCCTGCTTTCTGAACCAGAACACAACCACTGTCCTGAGCCTGTCCCAGCACTGTGTGTTGGGGGCATATAACTTATTTCTTTAGTCTCACAGGTCCCTAGATGGAGAGGAACTGCGCCCAGGAGCTGTACTTACTGGCTGATACTCAGCAGACACATCCGTACCTGACCTACGTGATGAAACGTTATACTTTCGAGCTGATGATACTTAGATGAGATTTTGGATTTTGAATTGATGCTATAATAGGACGAGACCCTTGGGAACACTGGAAGGGGATGAGTGTATTTTGCGTTTTTAGGAGGGATGCGAATCTTCGGGGGCCACAGGGTAGACTGTAGAAGGCAGAATTCTAAAGCTGGCCCTCCAAGATTCTGTGCCCTAATCCATGGAACCTGTTAATTCGATGGGACTCTGCTCCTATGATTATGTTATGAGCTGGCACAGCTGACCTGACACCCTGAGCAGAAACCAGTCCAGCCTGCCCAGACTCCTCACCTCCATAATTGCACGATACTAAGTGGATGTAGTTTAGATCAGCTGTTTGTGGTCCCTTGTTATGCAGCAATAGAAAATGAACTGCCTTGGCAGCATATAAGGAGAAACTCTCATCTCCTGCAGTCAGAAAGCAGAAAAGCTGATCAGGTCCAGGACTTAAATATAAGAGTAGCAGAGCTCCAGATAAAGTTGAATTCTCGTCCACTGCAAGTCTACTATGACAAGTTCAGGGGCCTGGTTGGGAAGGGATGGAACCCTGAGATCTGTAATGGGGACACATCTGAATCCAAGGAGTCCCAGGTCTCCCTGAATCCTCTGGTACTGCAGAAGTGGTTCACTCCTTCCTGGAAGAGACTAATTTCCCCCTCTTGCTTAAAGAGGATGCAGAGACCTCTGCCTCGCACACCTTGCTGAGTCTACTCCATCTCTCCTCCCGGCTACCAAACCAGTAACTAGGGCCAAGCCACAACATAACCTAGCCAGGGAAGTGCTGGCCTTGCCAAAGGCAGGCAAGGACTGTGCCCATTGTCAATTTTTGCCTCTTCGCTCCAAATGCACCCTTCACTGCCTGCTCTGGAAGAATGGATCTGAGCCCTTGAAATATTTCTCCTTTGCCAGTTGGCAAAATGCTAAGCTTCATCACTAGAGGGCCATGGAGGACCTTTGCAGGAGAAAGGGGTTTTCCTTCCTAATTCTAGTGTATCACTCCTGGCAGCCAGCCTCCTGCAGCTTCTCCAGCTCCTGGCTTCTGCGGCAGAACTGTCCAGTTCTGGTGCATGACAGTCAGCAGCACCTAGCGGCCAGCAGCATTTCCCAGCACTCCCCTCAGTAAGTTACATAGTGGACTGTCTCCAGTGACACACCTCCCCGTGCATGGCTTCCCCAGGCATCCTTGAGGGCAGATTTTGGTGAGTTTGCAGGGCACCTGCTCGTCACCACAATGACTTTTCTGCCGTCCTTCGAGCCATGACCATATCCTCTCAACAAGATCTGTATCTTGGCCCAGGGGTGGATGGCCTCTTCCTTGGGGACTCCATCCCAGCATTAGGGGTAGTGGCTGTTCCTTAGATCTGCTACTCCTATACTCTTTTGAGTTCTCTTTGTTTCTTACTAGCCAATCCTTTATTACTCCAATTCCCTATTATACTTCATTATTCTACATATTGAACTTTTCCTGTCCAAATTACAATGTGGTTTCTGTCTCCTCCTTGGACTCTGACTGATTCAGGCTCCATATTCTGAAGTTGCAGGACCCAGCCAGCATGTACTAACAGAAGCCAGGACAGTATTATGGGACTAGATCAAGGGATATAGGGTGGTGTAAGGTTGGATAGGTGACAGTTTATTGATATGGGAGCATTCTGATAATGGACCCTAGCAAAGATCCCAGGAGATGGTGCTAATACACTGCTAAGACGGCTGTTGGAAATTGGGAGAAAAGAAATGGCCTACACTAAGAGAAGTAGAAAAGTTAAAATTGCTATGGAAGGCCCAGAGAAGTGAGAGTGCTGGAGTGGATATACTATGAAGAGCTAGAAAATTCAACAGCTGACTATATTCCACAGGAGGGCCTGAAGGACACCCCTTTTACCAAAAGGATTAGAAATCTCTGGTAAGGGACACCATCATCACTGAGAAGCTCCATGTGTCTGTCCTCTGCATCCCAGAGCTGATGGTACAGAGCTAGACTCCCTAATAGCAATAAGGATGGTAGCATCCGTACATAACGGAGGCAGATGGTAGCACTTAAACGTCAGAGGCAAGGTGGATTCAAGTATAATGAGTGGCTGTGTCAGAATTTGGGGGCGTGGTGTAGCTGATCTACAGAGAGCTACGGAGGTGATTAATAGAACATGGCAGGAAGGACAGTCTTCTTTATATCCTTGCTAAATTCACCAATCTGGCCTTTGCAAAAAACAGACAGGACCTAGGGGATTAAAATGGACCACTGTGGACTTCCCTGGCGGTCCAGTGGTTAAGACTCCACGCTCCCAGTGCAGGGGGCTCGGTTCAATCCCTGGTTGGGGCAGATCCCACATGCTGCGTGGCACAGCGGAAAAGAAAAAAAAAAAGGACCACTGCAAACTCAACAAATCGTAGCCCCGTTGCAACTGCTGTGCCAGATATAGTATCTTTGCTAAAGGTAATTAACCCAGCCTCAGGTACATGGTTTACAGCCATTGATCTAGTGAATACTTTCTTTTCCATCCCTGTCAAGGAGAAGCAGAAAAGATTTACATTCACTTTAAATGGATAAATGTACATACTATGGCCTTATTCCCGCTACCCTCCACCTGTGTTCTCTCTCCTGCCCTCTGATATAATATAGTCCAAAGAGACCTGACTGTCTGGACATCCTGAATAGCATCACATTGATACACTACATTGATGACATTATATTAATCAGACTGGAGGGGCAAGAAGTGGCAAGTATTTTGGAGGCTTTGCTAAGACATGTTTACTCTAGAGGGTAGAAAATAATCCCTAAGAAGATTCTAGGGCCTGCCACATCAGTGAAATGTTTAGGGGTCCAGTGATCTAGGGCATCCATAAGGAAGGACAAATGATTTCATCCTGCACCTCCCAACTCAAAGAAAAAAGTACAATGCCTTGTGGGCCTCTATGGGTTCTGGAGACAACTTTCCATACTTGGCAATGCTGCTTCAACTCATGTAAATGATGGCACAAAGGGATGCCAACTTTGAGCAGAGTCCAGAGTTGAAAAGAGTTCTTCAGCAGCTCCAGGCCATGGTGCAAGCTGGCCTACCACCTCGCAGATAAGGGCCATACAACTGTGGCATTAGAGGCATCCGTGAAGAAATTATGTGGAGTTTATGGCAAGCCCAAATAGGAGAATTATGTAGACACATGGGGTCTGGAGCAGGTCTATTCTATTTGCATAAGATCATTATAAACTTTTTGCAGAACAGCTTCTGGAATGCCACTGAACCCTGGTATAAACAGAACACCTGACCACGGCCATCAGTGTTCATGCGGCCAGAACTTCCTATCATGAGGTCGATTCTGTCAGATTCATCAGTTGAACTTGAGCAAAGACAGAGGGCACAAGTAAGACGTACGAGTAAGCTACACAGCACGTGGCCCAGACCCCCATGTCTCCCGCTACACAGGTACCTCTCCACTAGTTATCCATGTTTGGTGGATACATGGGAGTGGGGGGGGGCACTTTATGATCATCTGAAGGAAGAGGGGGGAAAAAAGGAGAGCTTGGTTCACAAACGGGTTGGCTTGCTGGACGCACACTGGGAACAGACTCGTGCTGCACTGCAACCCTCTCTGGGTCTTCCCGAGGAACAGCAGTGAGGGAGGATCCTCCCGTGGGCAGAGCTTCGGCGGCACACCCAGACATCCACTGCATGTGGAAAGAGAAGCAGCCTGAGGTAAGAACATACCAGGAACACGCACAGGGGCAAAGGGTCTGACTAGCTGTCCAGGGACTTGAGAAATAAAGTTTGGAAGATCACGACAAGGAAGCATGGTAAAGAGATATGCAGAATGACCTATGGGAATGGGCATGAAGTGTGAAGATTTTCGCAATACACGTTAAAGGCCATCTGAAACATCTACCATGTCTACACCACACATGCCAAGTAGACCAAACAACTGGGCCAGTTGACATTAGCTAGTCTCCATCATTGGTCAACCCAGTGCTCACTCAATGGGTGCATGAATGGAGATCCATGAGAGCAGGGAATGAAAGTTATAACTGGTCCAACTAGCATGGACTCCCACTCACCAAGATTCACCTAGCTACTGCCAACCAACCTGCCACTAAGAGGCCAGTGCCATGGCCCTGATTTGGCACCACCACTCCTCAAAGAAATCACCTAGCCACTTGGTAACAAGTTGGCCACATTGGATCCCTTCCACTCTGGATGAAGCAAGACAAGACTGGAATCAACACATATTCTGGGTATGGGTTTGCCTTTCCTGCCACAGGGACGGTGATGGTTAGTTCTCTGTATCAATTTGACTAGGCTATAACACCCTTATTCAATCAAACACCAATTCAATCTAGGTTTTGCTGTGAAGGCAGTTAACATCTACAGTCTGTTGACTTTAAGTAAAGGATATTATCCTCGATAATTATGGTGGGCCTCATCTAATCAGTTGAAAGGCCTTAAGCTCAACGGTGAGATTTCCCTGAGGAGGAAGAAATTCCACTGTGGACTGCAGTATCAGCCCCTGCCTGAGAGTTTCAGCCTGCTGGCCTGCCTAATAAATTTGGGAAATGTCTAGCTAGCACCCCACAATTGTATAAACCAGTTCCTTGCAATAAGTCTCTATAGCTATAGATAGATACAGATATATCTCCTACTGGTTCTGTCTCTCTGGTCGAGCCCTGGCTGATATAGGGCCTGTTGCAGCATCACTATCTGAGGGCTTACTTTTAAGAAAAACAGTAGCATGGGAGTGGACAGGAAGCCTCCGGCTCCCAAATCACCAATTTCCCAACTTAAGGGAACCCAACTTAAAGCCACAGCTCACCTGTCCCAAGCACCTGTTGTGTGGTAGCCATTAATGTGGACTTGATGTTAAATACACGAAGACTTTCATCGAAAAGTCTCCCCCTTGAGAAATGGGCAGGTGCTGATGTTGGGGTGAAGTCGAGGTCTCTGCAGGATGAATGCAGCACAGCCCCCTGCAGTCCCTCATGTGTGAAGTGACCGGATCAAGCCCTGAAAGGGGTCAGAAGCAGAGGAATGAGAGGTTGACCAGTCAGAGGAATGAGAGGTGCTCCGCTGGAGTCAGGAATATTGAACTGAAAAATGAGAACAGTCAGCATTCAGCATTTGGAAGTTACTTTTCTTGCTTTCTGGTTGTGACTTTGTAAAAATCCGTTTAGGAAGCCACTGAGCTGCCGTGACTGATGCACTGATTTCCCAGCTGGCTTTGTCTTAGTCTCAGGCTGGGCCCAGGTGAGAGGACATTCATTTCCGTAGGCCGGCCCAGCGGAGGATTGAAATCAGGGAACTCATTGGGGGAAATGCCAGCCCAACGCGGGCCTAGAACCACAGAACTTTTAAACAACGGGAATGCAGGCAGGCCGAGGTAAATGACGGTGGCTTCGGTTAGCAAATAATATCCCAGACAATCTCAGACCACAAAACAGTGCTCACCCTAGACAGCTATAAAATTAGAACTTCAAACATTAGCTAGTTACCAAATTAAGACTCTTTTATTTACCTTCGTCACCCTCAGCGAGCCACATCTTTCTGCCCAGGTCGGCACCACAAGGAGAATGAATAGAATGATGTACTGGGGGATGATGTGACATGTTTGGGTTGGGTCTATGAAGACACACACCCGCTGTCTTGAGTGAAAGAACAGGGCCCTTTTCAGAGGATTTGGTTTTTTCCACCTCTTTGTGATCCAAGTTACCAGACCGTACGAAAGGGTCAAGGAGAGAGCTGGGGACTTCAGCTCAGGATACCAACAGTGGAGCATCTGAAACCCCCACTGTACTCGGGGACCCATTCTAGCGAATCCAGAGAGCGGCGCCATCAGTTGAATCACAGCTTGTGGGCCTGACAGGAGAGCAGGATCCATCAAGGCCACCTGACCAGCAACTGGCAGCACTGTCTATAGCCCCTCTGCCTCTTCCACCTTCCTTCCTCCAGACCAGCCCTCTCACCGCCACACGGCCCCTCCGCCTGGCCCTGATCTCACCCTCCACGTGCTCACGCAGGCCTGGGCCCCAGGCGCAGGCTCTCCTCCTCCACTTTCACTCCTGTGTCCTAGACTGACGGGCAGGACAGTCACCAGGAGACACTGTTATCCACGTGACAGGGGATAAAGTTAGCCTGGTGGGCTTCAGTTTCAAGAGTCTGAGTTCCCTAGGTCTAAACTCCACGTTTCACAGTGCTTGGAGTCTCAGCCCTCATTTTACAGGTGAGGAAACTGACTCCTGGAGAGTACTGACCAATCAAGGCCACACTGCAAGCTCATGGCAGAGCTGAGGCTGCATCCTTCGGAAAGTCAGTCCCAGGACCTCCGTGTAGCACTCTTTTCTCATCCTTACACTTGCATGTTGGTATTTCTCTTGTATCAGTCTTTCAAAATAATATAAAAGTTCTAATTCATTCATATTTTAAAGGAGGGGAAGCAATATATTCAACCCAAAAAACAGCTGTAGGTTCCAGCTTCATTTTTACTGGATATTCATTCTATAATCGCGTGTTTAAAGCAGCACTTTGCCATTCTGAGTTGGCTTTGTCTTGTGCTGAGACATTTGCATCCTCTGAGCACCCCATGCCAGACAGCAGGGACCAAGGAGACTGGGAAATAGTTTCTTCACTAGTGGATAAGCCACACTCAGATCATCGAGAATCAAATGCTCAGATTCACCAGGCTATCCTTGTGGTGTCTACGAGTGGAGAGAGAAATGGAAACTACCTCTCCTCTCCTGGACTAGGATAAATGGAACGCTAGACCCTGGTTTCCATCCAGGCGATGCCAAGATTTTAAAGGGTTCAGATCCCCACTGCTGCTGCCAGCTCGGTCTGTGTGTCTTCGAGGCTGTGTCTCCTTTCCTCCCTCAATGGCCCAGGCAGCTCTGGTCTTGCTGATGGATGCTGGGTCAAGGCTGAACATAATAATGGCCTTTTCCAGACTGCTGCATCGGTGCCCCATTTCAGGCAGCTGGGAATTCAGGTCTCCAGCTTCCCCAGCAAGTCATCTCAAGATGACAGAAACACTGACCATGTACGCAAAGAGCACCAGCCTAGAAAACACGTGTCTAGTCCTAACTCAAGCCTCTATCACAACCCACCTTTCCGGGCCAACCATCCACCGTTCAAAACCCAGCTCAAGCACCACTTCCTCTGTGTATCGTCCTACTGTGAGCTCCTGAGGAAGGAGAACTGTCTTGATCATCTCATCTTTCAAGATACTCAATATACAAATAAGTAATTATGGAATTTCTCCAGAATGAGAGGGTGGTCTTGAAGATGGGTTCCTTATTTAAGAGTCTGTGATGGGGCTTCCCTGGTGGTGCAGTCATTAAGGATCTGCCTGCCAATGCAGGGCACACGGGTTCGAGCCCTGGTCCGGGAAGATCCCACATGCCATGGAGCAACTAAGCCTGTGCGCCACAACTATTGAGCCTGCGCTCTAGAGCCCACGACCCACAGCTACTGAAGCCCATGCACTTAGAGCCCGTGATCCACAACCACAGAAGCCACCGCAATGAGAAGTCCGAGCACCACAACGAACAGTAGCCCCCGCTCGCCGCAACTAGAGAAAGCCCACCCGCAGCAACAAAGACCCAACACAGCCAAAAATAAATAAACAAGTAAATAAAATATATATTAAAAAAAAAAAAAAAAGAGTCTGTGATGACCCCAATCTGACTTCCAGGATTGGGACCTAATGCCTGAGAGGCACAAAGAGGTGAAAGACCTAGGATTCCTAAACCCTCAGACCAAGTGTGCACGATCCAAGTGTTCCAACCTAGTTAGTCTCTGAGAAGTTACATGGATACATCATGTTCACAGGCATGACAAAGATCTGGAGTTTAGACGTGCCTCTCTTATTTCTGTGGGCATAGATCAGTCACCTGTGGGCATGAGGTCTCTCATCACAGTGTGAGACGACATGGTGTTTCTCTAATAGGTGAGAAAATGGAGTGGTTCCCCAAGGGAATGGGGATGGAAAGAGAAATATCTAGAGGGGTTGAGTGATTTGCTGAACCACACACATGTTGAGGGGTGATCCAGATTCTCAGCTGACATTCTCAGTTTCCCCTCTGGGTTTTCCTGACCAAAGAAAGTCTTGACCAGGCTAAGGTTTGCAATCAACGCAGCGGACACAGCTGGCCACTTCCTTGCTGAACTGTTTGGGAGCAGCGGACACAGCTGGCCACTTCCTTGCTGAACTGTTTGGGAGCAGGGCAGGGATCTAGGAAGAGCTACTTTTTTTTTTTTGCGGTACGCAGGGCCTCTCACTGTTGTGGCCTCTCCTGTTGCGGAGCACAGGCTCCGGACGCGCAGGCTCAGCGGCCATGGCTCACGAGCCCAGCTGCTCCATGGCACGTGGGATCTTCCCGGACCGGGGCACGAACCCATGTCCCCTGCATCGGCAGGCGGACTCTCAACTACTGCGCCACCGGGGAAGCCCTAGGAAGAGCTACTTTTGAAGTGGGACTTATATGCCGAGGGTCCTCCTTGATGTGGTTTGAAACACTGCCATGGTATGTTTGGATAATGGCTAAATTAGCCCTCCATAAAGACTGAGAAATGAAGGGATGTCTAAATATTACTCTGGGACACAGTTTGAGAATCGCCTGTGGGTAGAATGGAAGAACCCGATCAAGAGGTACAAGATAGTAGAATAATCAAATCCACCTCCCATCCCCACTTTCCCAGTTCTGGGCATTTTTTAAAGGTAAAGAAAAAAACAGGCATTCTGAGGTCAAATCAGGTCTCTGGGCATCTCCGCCCCTTCCAGGTGCCAGAGAAGAGAATGCCATTGTGTGTGTGTGCTGGGGGAAGAGGGGGCCTGGGGCTGTTGGAAGGCCCACTGCTGCCAGGCGGCAAATGGCCAGCAAGGTTGTGCAGGTCATTTGTGGAGACAGTGGGTGAGACCTCGTAACACTCTGGGCCCCTGGAGGCAGGCTTTTATTAGAAACCTTCCATTTTCTGGCATTTCACTAATTTAGCCAAACCACTCGTGGCAAAAAGTCTGACTGTCCTTAGCCCCAGGGTGGGTTTGATTTAATTGAACGTAGGTAGGAGAGTGTTGGAGAAAGGGCCCTGGGCTGGGCGACGAAAACGTAGGCTCCAATCCCAGCTGGGCAGTAACTTACCTTGGGACCTGGACCTTGAACAAATCAACCCCCTTCTCTGGGCCTCTGTTTCCCCAGCAGTAAAACGCACAGGGTAAACCTTGGGCTCGCTCCATCATGGGACGCCATCCTACAGTTAGTTCTACGATCGGCTCGTGACTCGACTCCGGGCATCGGAGGCGGGGGCCCAGCGTAAGTTGTTTGAGCCCCCAAGTTGCCAACTCAAGTTGAGCAAGTGTCCTGAGGTGACCAAGGGGGCCAGCGAGGTTCCCGTTGCCCTGCAACCGCGAGCTGCCGCCCCGCGCCCCGGGAGCGCCACGTGTGGCCGGGAAGGGCGTCGGCTCCCCGGCCAGAGAAGCGACGCTCCCGGCGGCCGCACCCGTCCCGGGACGTGGCGCCAACGGAGGCGTGGCGGGGGCCAGGGGGCCGCTGCCCGCCCGAGCCCGCCGCCTGCCCCGCCGCCGGCCCTGCCGCGGGTCAACTCGTCCCTCCCGGACGTGACACGCTCTGCATTCCCGCGACCGCGAACCAGGAAGCGCAAGGGACGCCCGGCAGGCGCGGGGCGGGGCAGGGTGGGGGAGGAGCTGGGAGCAGGAGGGGCGGCCATGGCAACGGGTGGGGGACGGGAGGGGACGTGTGTGCAAAGCTGCTGTCTCCAGCTGTCGCTGCGCGGCCTCCGTTCACCACCCCTGCCGTCTGAATAGCTGTTCTGTCTCCGCGGATCCCCTCGTCGACAGCTGATTGTTTAACTCCCAGACTGGCTGGCTCTGTTGAATTTCCAGACGCCTCTTTGGGACAGGTCCTGGAGGAGGGGGGGCGGAATTTTTTCGGGAAAAGCCGGGCACAAATAATCTTGCGTCTGCTCGCCTCTCTTTTGATCCTCATGCCATCTGGACCTGCGACTCGGCGGGACCAGTAACCCCCTTTTACTGATGGCAAAACTGAGGGGCGAAGCCACTTAGCCAAAAGCGCATCGCGAGATACAACTAACGGAAACGAGAGAATTCCTATCCCTCCATTGTCAGCGCCCACAGTGAAGCTCTGGAAAACCCTCCGTTGCAGGGCTCAGAATTGGACAGGCCAATCTCCCTCTTTTTCTGCCTGCATCCCCTGGTGAGGGAATGGCAGGCTTCAAGGATGTAAGCCAGAAGGGAGGCAGGACCTAGGTCCTGGACCCTGTTTTGGGCTCCCTGGCTTCTTTTTACTGGATGGCTCCACTTGCCCCCTCCCGTCTCTCTCCACCTTTCCTGGCTTCACTCCATCAGGGTGGGAGGCTAAGGACCACTCCTATTTTCTCATTAATAAATCTGATTAAAGACCACTTGAGTGTTCTAACTTGTGGAACTTGAGCAAGCTCCTTCCCCATTATGGGCCTCAGTTTTCCAATCTATATAAGGACTCTATTAACCCCTAAGAAATTTTCCAGCACTAATATTCCAGGATTCTAATTCAGATACTTTCTCTGCAGGCAACAGCCTGCTGTAAGGAGTTAACTTTTCTTCCTTTTCTCCATATCATAATTATACTTACCTCCCCAGCACCTGTGCCCATAGTCGCACTCAATAAAAGGCTATTAAGTAAGTATAAAGGTATATCTTTGCCTCTCTGCTCTCTCCTAACAAATTCCTAATGATGACCAAAGAAAAAAATAAGTGGGTTTATCAACTCTTTCCAAATATCTCTGCAACACCTTGCATGATGGGATGCTGACAGCCACCTCCTGAGGCTGGTGGGGCAGCAGAAATATTTCAGTTCAGAATCTGGGTTTGAATTTGATCTCTGCCCCTCCCTTACTGCCTCTGGCACATAGCCTCTTTAAACCCTTGGAGTCTTAGGTGTTCCCTGGCCTGTGGGTTTATCAGAAACAACGGCTCCCATTTTACAGGTGACAAAACCGAAGAAGTGAAGTGACTTGGCCAAGAGCATACCACAAAATACAAGATGGCAGATACAAGATCATTTCCTCATTTGTTCAGTGAAGACAATAATAATGCCTGTTTTACAGGACTGAAGGAAGCTCAGCTGGACTAGAAGGGAAGGCTGTCTATAAGCTGTTAAACTGCTAGTTGTTGGATGCTGCAGTGGGAGCAGTAACACTGTGACCTGGCATGGGGCTATGAGAAGCTTTCTTACCTTAGACATTTGCATCTGGTCCATAAATAGGGCTGGGCATAGGCACTGGACTCAGAGGATGAGCAAGACAAGTGCTGGAGGTAGAAGACAGCCAAGTACGAGCACAGAACCTCAAGGCGGGTTTTCAAGAAGTACACAGCCCCACGGGGCATGTAAGCAGCACCTCCCCTCCCAGTGTATTGGGTTGGTTGGTTCTGTTTTGTTTGTTTGTTTTGTTTTACCATCTCTGCCATCCTGAGCAGCTCCCTTAAGGGAAATATGCACAGTTCAGGACCTGCCACCCTTCACCCAGCTTGGGTGCCACACCTAAGGGAGAGGTCAGTTGGGTGACTCTCTGTCACCTTTTCTTGAGGTCTCCAAAAACCTTTCCCCAAAAACCCCAGGGACAAGTTTGCTGGCTTTCCTTGTGGTTCAGCTTCAACCTGCAGTGGAAACACAGCAGGTGGTCATATTTGGGATGTTTGGTTTCTTACCTTGTACCTGAACAATGCTCTAAATATTTTACATTTATTTTTCAAATAAATTTACATTTACCCATACATGTATATGGTTCAAATACTCATGCATGTGGTAAAAAATTGAAAAGGTACAAAAGAGAATATAGTAAAATGTAAGTCTTCCTCACTCCCCTGCCCTCAAGCCTTGAGTTCCCCTCCCCAGAGATAACCACTCTTATTAATTTCTTTTATGTCCTTCCAGAAATCAAATATTCTCTTTTAGGAATTTTTTTTTGGGGGGGAGGAGGATTGTTGTTTGCTTTATTTTATGGTGCTTTTTTTTTTTTGGCCGCACCTCACAGCATGTGGGATCTTTCCCAACCAAGGATTGAACCCATGCCCCCTGCAGTGGAAGTGCGGAGTCTTAACTGGACCCCAAGGAAGACCTATGGCACATTTTAGATAGATGATTTTAATTGTTAAAGTGAAAACATTCACTTTGAAATGAAATTTAAAGGAACTTTAAAGTGAAAAATGAATTTAATCTTTTTTGTCTTTTTCTTGATCTTTTTTTTTTTGACTGTACGCGGGCCTCTCACTGCTATGGCCTCTCCCGTTGCGGAGCACAGGCTCCGGACGCGCAGGCTC